ATAACGGGAAAAAAACATTATGACCAATGTAAATAAGGATTGGCCTTTGCCAGTGCATAGAGGTGCGGAAACACTTGCTGTAAATCACCCAGCAAGTTTGATTTATCATGAATTAAAGGATCTCTAACACATCTTCAAGTACGAAATTGGAATGTAAATGCATAATTCATTATATTTTCCTCTATAGCAACAAAACATAATAAATATTTAATAACAAATGTTACCAATATACAAACACACCTCTTAATAGCCTAATGTAAAATTACATTTAGCATTGGATCCATTTCTTTATGAATAATGATTAAGATGAATGTTTTACTGGATTGTAATAAATTTCTATCATAATATCTTATGAAAATATAACGAAATGCTTGATTTTTTTTGAGAGAGATATGAATATATGTGTGATTTCTTTCCCTCTACATATATGTCTCTATATATATATACTATATTCATACATGCATATATGCATACAATTCTATATATACAAAAATATATACATGTATATGTATATGTATATATTATTTATATATATATAGATAGATATAGATATAGATATATGTATGTATATGCGTATATAGATTAATAGATATATGTATATGTGAATGTTTGTATATATAATGTATATACATACATATACATACAAATGTATGTTTATGGATATATATATATATAATATATAATATATATATATATATATATATAGAGAGAGAGAGAGAGAGAGAGAGAGAGAGAGAGAGAGAGAGAGAGAGAGAGATAGCCTTAGCTATATATATAATATATATATATATATATATATATATATATATATATATATATATATATATAGGTATCAGAATTTATTATTTATAAAGGTGGTAATGATCAATAAAAGGTGATGATTCACCAGGTGGTGATATAGAAACTATTTTAAGTAAAACATTAGTGTTACCTCAGTTCAGTGGATAACGCTCTGTGATTGGTTGATTTTTACCCGAACTAACGCTGATTGTTCGATCGAGCCGTTCTTTTAGGAAATAAAGCCCGACGACACCTAGCGATAGAAAATTCGATCGTAACGGTTACGAGACCCCTGCGCTCTCGTTGTTTGGCGTTTGAAAATGGGTCGTAACGTCGCTAGTTGAGAAATCTTTGATAGTTCTCGTAACTGTTACGAGAGACAGCGTTTACGAGAGAGTTTAGTAAATCCGGCCCCTGGACTCCTACGCCGTCCTTCTGATCGTGCGAACAGGGGGGGGGGGATGAGCTGTTGTGTGAATAGGGTGTTGGAATAGGTATGTGAGTAAGGGTGGGAAACTGATAGGGTGCAAGGAAAATAAATACCAATCTGACTGCATGAAAAGAACATTAATAATTATGGCAATATGATTACAAATGATTGCAGCATTCTGTCAACTATCTGAAATCGCAACAATAGTAATCTTTTGGTACACAAAAAAGTGAATGGTGGTAACTATGTTATGGAACATATATAGCTTGTAGAACACTGCATGGTGCAAGCAGATCGGGTCAGCTTTACTTGGGACAACTAAACGGCCGATAAGGACAAATCTAGTGGTTGTAGACTAGGTTGAATTTAGACAAATTCCGGAGGAAAAGTGAAGTAGTCCCACCATGTTACAGCTGTAAGAGGGTGCCACCGGGTCAAGCATCATAAGCCGCTAAAGCACTACACAAATTGGGCATCCCATCTTGTAAAGAAGTGCCAGCGCTAAGCTTACATGGAGTTGTAAACATAGTCGCGAAATGAGCACAAAAATGACCGAAAAAATTATAATCAGATTACTCATATTTGAAATAAAGTATTCATGATAAGTATAATATGGATAATTTATGAAAAACATAGAATAGATGTATATGATATAACAGTCATAATAAACTGTACTGAAAAAAAGACATCCTATTAATCTAATAAGCTACATTAGTATTACAAGTGAACAACGAAAAAGAACAATCATATTGAAATGGAAGCTTTGTACACACAAAATATACTATGATAGTAAAACCATCTGACCTAAAATGAGGGAATGCATAGCTTAAATCTACACTATAAATTATTCATGCAAAACCTGAAGTGATACTCTTATAGTATAGTTAATTTCACCCACAATTATTGAGCGAACAAGTACACGTATTGTCAGGTCAATAGGCCAGTGGTGAATGATGACATGGCTTCAGGTCTAGCGGTTTATGAACCTGACCAGTGATGGTAGCTCGTCAGTTAGGCGGTCACATGGCAGGAGTCGGCCAGTCACGAGTCAGGAGCGGTTCTGTGTTGATAACCAATCGGGAGCCACTACAGCATCCCCTCTAGTGAAACGGCCACGAAACAAACTCCTGAAATCCTGAAGGACTGCTGCGGGTTTGACGTGATCGATGGTCACAGTATCTTTTCCTTAGGGCGGCGGATCGTGGTGGTCTTGTCGTCTCTTCTGATGACTGGATGGGACCCTCGTTTCCTCACGAAGACGTGGGAGCGATTTTGGAATCCATGAGGTAT